GGGGCGCGCAGTTCGCTTGGCATCAGGACCTCGGTTACTGGCCGGCGACGCCCGACATGAACACGCTCACGGCGACTTGCTCGCTGGCGCTCGACGACGCCGACGACGACAATGGTTGCTTGCAGGTGGTTCCCGGATCGCACCTCGAGGCCGAGCTGCGTCCGCACCGCCCGGTCTTCAAGCCATCGACCAATGGCGAGCGGGACGGCGGGCACACGCTCGCCGCGCAGCTTGAGGCCGACGACAAGGTCGTCTCGCTGCCGGTGAAGCGGGGTTCGATCAGCGTGCACAACGAGCGGATCCTCCACGGGTCGCCCGGCAACGGCTCCGACCGCTGGCGGCGGACGTACATCGTCGCGTTCCGCCCGAAGGCGATCGTCGATTACGAGCGCGGCGTTGGCTTCACACACTCGCACAACGACAAGGTGCAGTGGCAGACTTTGCTCGAAGCGCTTGAGAGTTGATCCCGTCATTTAGCCCCCCGTCATTGACGGGGGGCTAAGTGCGTTCGGGGGCTTTAAAGTCACTTCTCTTCTTCTCACAGGGCGGCCCTATGCACACTTCACGTCGTGAATTCTTGAAGCACGCCACGGCGCTCGCCGGCGTCGCTTGTACCAGTAGCGCTTGGGCGGGCGCCGCGAATGATCGTCTCAACCTTGCCTTTGTCGGTTGCGGCGGCATGGGGAGCGGTCACCTCGGTTGGGCGCTGCAACAGCCCGACTTGCGTGTTGTTGCGTTGTGCGACGTAGACGCCAATCACTTGAAAGGCGCCGCGGCGAAAGCGCCGGATGCTTTCACGAGCGGCGACTTCCGTGAGGTTGTCGGCCGCGACGACGTGGACGCGGTCTTCATCGCCACACCCGATCACTGGCACGCGCTGGTGGGGATCGCCGCGGCGAAGGCCGGCAAACACGTCTATTGCGAGAAGCCGCTCACCAACTCGATCGGCGAAGGCCGGGCGTTGGTGAACGCGGTGAAAGACGCCGGCGTTGTCTTGCAGACGGGGTCGCACGAGCGATCCAACCCCGGCGCGGCTGTCGCCAAGCGGCTCGTCGCCGAGGGGAATCTTGGCGAGGTGAAGACGGTGCGCATCCATCTGCCCAACGCCGACCCGCACCTGCAAGAGGTCGAGAACTTTACGTCGCCGCCGCCCGACCGCGATCCGCCGGCGGGGCTCGACTACGACTTTTGGCTCGGGCACACGCCGGTGATGCCTTACAACGAGAAGCGTTGCCATTTCTTCTGGCGGTTCCACCGCGCGTACGGCGGCGGCGAGATCACCGACCGCGGCGCCCATGTGATCGACCTGGCGCACATGATACTCGGCCTCGACGATACCGGACCCGTGCGAGTCAATGCCGTCGGTACGCCGCCCAAGGGCGACTTCTACGACGCGTTCATCACGTTCCGGTTCGACAACGAGTACGCCAATGGCCTGCGGATGATCGGCGACAACAGCGGCCCCCGCGGGCTGACGCTCGAAGGGACCGAGGGCAAGCTTTTTGTCGCGGTGCATGGCTGCGCGCTGTCGGCGGAGCCGGCGTCGCTGCTAGAGGGCGTCTCGCTGCCGGGAATCGACCCGTACGCGACGCATCGGCGAAGCCTGCTCGACGCGATCCGCAGCGGCAGCGGCGAGGTCTCGGCCCCGGTCGGCGCGGGACACCACACAGCGGTTGCCTGCCACCTCAACAATTTGTCGATGCTGACGGAGAAGCCGTTCGCTTGGGACCCGGTGGCGGAACAGTCGGATTCGGACGAAGTGAACGCAATGCTCACACCGAAGATGCGGGCGCCATGGGTGCTGTGACGGCGGCGAGAATGGTTGCGGTTGGAAAGCGTTGTCGCCTAGAAATGACAACGCTCCTCCCGCCACGCCACGTCAACGTCCGATAGCCATGCCCACCTTCACCGGTTTCCCGCTCGGGCTGCTGCACTTCCTCGAAGAGCTGTCGCGGAACAACAA